TAAAATTAATACCCAGCATTTTTATTAATTTAGGTTTATGAATTAATAATTAGAATTATGTATATATATATTAAATAATATATTTATATTTACTATAATAATAATTACAATGTTGTAACTGTGAAGCATTCCCAAAAACGAAGGTTTTCAGTTCATTGCCCATGTAATTACCCTTAAGTGAACACTGAAAATTGCAATTAAATAATATCATTAACAGTGTTGAATGAAAAAATCTATTTTATAAATTATCTCTTATATAATTTATTAATAATATCCCAAACATGAATCATTACAGATAAAAGTATTATTTTGGCAGTACGGCTAATTTAAGGTTTGGACCATAATGATGTTGATAGTTCTGAATGGAGTTTGGGTATTTTGGGGGGATATATAGGCGGAAATCCATTAAAAATTTTTGGGGGGGGGGCTAAGCCATGGATTAGCGAATTCAACAAAATACAAATTAAAATGAAAATGCTATTATTTTATTATTTAATATTAAATATTATTTAAAGAAAATTAGACAAGTATTTAGTATATATATTAAATTAATATATCATTTGCATTAATTTTTTTTTACAAATACATAAATATATATTATATCGTACATAGTTCCGTGGAAGAAAATGGATAATCCACTAGTGGAGAAACGAGAGTTGACTTAAGTATGTAACTTTTAAAGTGCAGGTAGGAGGCGGATAGAGAAGTATATTGTATAGTCAGTTGGTAGGGGGCTACTTGGTCTCGGATCTCTGCAGTAGTCTCTCTCTATATATTTATTATTTATGTATAATTGATAGCATAAATATTTTATTTTTAGGTTCCTATACCTATTCGTCTTTGATTTTTACCCATTGGATATTTTGTCTTTGATATTTCGACCTATAGATTCGTATAACATTTAGGATATAATGACCCTGTACAACTTGAGTGTACCTTCATATTATCAAGTGGCTCACCCTTCTGCTTCTGCAGCAGAGTGCAGTGTAATTTGTATTATATATTATATTATATACCGTGACGAATAACTGTGCGCATGGGGCAGTTTGTAGTTTGTACCAACTCATTGTACTCAAAAGACCGCCAATTTCGTATGTCCTCCCACGCACTATACGAACACAAAAGAATACCGATAGTGCTGTGTATAGTGTATAATGTGTTCATATATATATATATATAAGAGTATATATGGTGGTGTTAAGTATGTGTGGCCATTATGATAATGTGAATAATACGAAATATTATAAGGGACCGGAGAGAAGAAGAATAGAAACTAACATAGCGCCGGGACTGACCCTATACAACATGTACACATCTCAGTGCTCTCTATAATATACGCAGACGTATAGATATTAAACGGCTACGTCACGCTGGGGTTGTTCGAAATAACAAAAACAAAATATTTTATACCTGGAAAAGGGGAAAAAGTGATTTATCGAAGGTCTCCATGTATAATGGGAATCGTTTTCATCCCTATTATGTTATGTATTATATTATATATATATTTACGTGTACCTCCCTCTCATTTTTTAAATTTTTATATTTCACTGTTTTAATGGACTGTCTATAATATACCTACCATCTACATTTTACGTCTCAACTTTTTTCACACGTTTTTTTGTTATACGTTTCAATCATTCTTAAGTATTTTTATTACAACGGCGTTCAGATGTTAAATATTATAGTGTTTTATAATATATATTTTCTGTGTATTGTAGTGTTTATGTTTTTTCATAATTTGTTCAATGTTCCCTCACGTCACTAGACTAAATACAATACATCATGCATAATACATGTAGGTATATGTATACCTATACTCCATACTTCCATAGATAATATAATATAATAATACATATACGCATATTTTAATACATATAAATTGCATTATTGGACCTATATTATTAGTATAAATGTATAATGTATATTTATGTATTACAATATTATGTTAGGCCACTTATTGCGCTTAATGAAGAGAGATATGCAGGCTACATAATTGACTATCGTCTAAACTAGTAGGCCACGACCGATTTTAGTTATTATTTAAATCGAAAAAAAAACTAAAAAAATTAGAAACTGAAAATGTCCTGCATAAACCACTCTAAATAAGTCAAAATATTTTTAAAATTGTATAGAAAATGCTAATATAAACATTCAGTGAAAAAATCATTTATATACGGTTATTTGTTTTAGAATTACACCAAAAACCAAAATCGATTTTGTTGAAAACTGATTATACATAAAAATTCCCGTTTTTCCCGGCTCTGTTGAAAACTATTGGGAATTTTAAATTTTGACCTCCCGAATGCACTAACTAGATTCACTTTCCAATTGAACAAGATACTGTTGAAGAAAATCGAAGCAGTGTTATTTCCCCAAACAGTGATGACAGACACAGAAAAAAAACACATCATTGTAAATACATTTATTTCTCCGCTCAGAATTTTTAATCAATCATTACCTATGATGGGCTATATTCATTTTATTCGAAATTACACAACTAAAACTCACGTTAGCTATATATTATTATTTACATTTTTACAAGTATGCCGCAACCCAATTCTAAAACTCTTCCCGCGGGGGGTATCAGATCCTAGGGGGGGCATGACTCCCTTACACCCACATCTGTCTAACCGCTACAATATTTCACTTATTTGTAATTAGGTATATGTAAATATGTTAATGAACCGATCGAACTAAACAGAATACATTTAATATTTTACGGAGCTAGAACATTGCATTCAGCAGTATCCACTATATAAAAATTTAACACAAAATGTATTTGTCCGTATGTATACGAGTATACGTACTAGTATTATAGTAAAGATTTTATTCTGTAGTCTTTTGTCTGTCTGCTATTACCTAGACTTTAGATAGTATACATATTGTATATATGTATGAGTGTGAGTGTGGAAGACAAAGAGGGTGTGCAGCGTAAACATAAAAGCAATTATTTATAATTGAATCATAGGTTTACGAAATAATATTTTACTTGGTTAAAATGTGTTTGTATGCATTCTTCAGCTTTAACATAATATAGAATATAGTTAAAGCTTGGTACTAGGACACAAACTTCTTCAAGAGGAGAGCCACGACCTCCGGACATAAATAAGTGGCAAGTCTTTATAAGTTATATCTGTATTCTACTTAGTAACCACTCATCAATGTTTTTATTTTTTGTTGATTTAAATTATTGTTTCCAAGGAACACAAAAAATAAAAATTTACCATCGTTATGGAAATACTATAAAATTTTTATTAAATATTGCATATTATATTATATTGTATAACAATCCAACCGATGGCAAATAGTAATAAAATGAAGATTAAAACTACAATTATTTATGTTTTTAATTATAACCAAGAATGTTAATTGAATTGATTAGTTTATAATGTTTTGTAATAACGTTATCAAATGCAAGACTTTTATTAAAAATATAAAACTGATATAAAAGTGTAATATTAATTTTGTATTTAACTTCGATAATTAAAATGACAGAAGTTACGATGTTCCTGTTTATATTATTACTGCAATTGATAACAATTTATATTATGTAGACTAATGAGTAATGATAATTATTATTTAAACATTTTAAACATAATATTTACCAACAAACGATGTATAATAAACTGCAGTTAAATGTATAATAATGATAATATATCCAGTTATTTTGGTAACAATATTATTTAACTATTAAATACTAATGTATAATTTTACTATATTATTTAACCTTGTGTTATTTTGTCATTTGTAATTACTAATTTAAACTCAAATTCTAACATTAATTTGCTAAACAAACGATGGATATGTTGACCGTTCATCTAAATGTCTAAATACGTAATAACATCACAAATAAATTCACAATAAGCGTGTATAAATTAAACAATATACAACTAACATAAATTTCCTTATAAATAACGAATGTCTAATTTTACACGTGTCACTTAGGTACATTATATTATTAATGAAATATTCCATTAATCAATTATTTGTTTAGGTTAAATTTGATATAAAGAATACAATATTAGTGTTATCTAAATTATGGTTTGTTAAATAACTGAGAGTAAAAGTGATTTAAAAAAAAGTTGTCTGATGTTAAAAGTTATTGATTTCGAATTTTAATCGTTATTTTTATTTGTTTATAAAAAAAAAAAAAAATAGTAGACTGTTACCTACAATATTACAACGAGTATAACCTATAAACGGAAAAGATGATCTAGATGAAATTACATTGCGCAAATATATTATGTAATAAAATGTGAGTGCAAAAAAAAAATCTTTTTAAAATCCTGTAAGTGCAAGTATAAAAACACATCAGAGTATAGAAAAAACTATTATTGTTGGAAAGGCGTTTTCTCGGCATTTACGGCTACGATAGTTTAAAATGTATTATTAATTATTATTTATTCAAATTCAAACATAATAATTTAATATCATGTTGTCTGTCAAGAATCCCGCCGAGTATAAACTACTTTTGTTTTCATAATAATTATAATGATATGTCAGTCTACGGAATTTGGGACAGTAATATAGTAAAATGACGAGGAAACTCCAATGAGAAATCCTGCAATTTGTACACATTTTGCATATTGTATTCGGTCGGAACCTCAACTGTCCAAGTAGTCCTACGACACTACGACAACGACGTTCATATTATTTTTTTATCAAAGGGTTTACGCGCGTAAAATAATATCGCCGAGACGTGGGGTAATGCTAAAGCGTACCAAACACCGTTTTCTGAGCCATCGATCTCCTGCTCCGACGGAGCGGCGGCGGTCCGATAGTGAAAAATCGGGTGCGCGCGCCCGCGCTTCGTCGTCGGGAAAATCGTCCTCGGCGTCCACTCTTCCACCCACCCGATCGAAACAAACAACCCGCTCGCCATGCCACCGACACGTCCACGGCCGGCGACGGCGCGTTGGAGCGTCTCGGGAGTGTGAATGGACCGCGCTAACCAGCGTACCAGTGTGGTGGGGAGGGGGCGCACACACACGGTATTTCGGTCACGGCGTATGGATCCACCTGCTGTACGGCGCGCTGCGGCGTGCCGGTTCGTAGTACGGGTGTCGCGGCCCGCAGTCGGTCGGGGTCGGGGCCGGAGCACCACTACGGTCTGGCGGGGCGGGTGGGTTACGATAGTGGAATGCCGTCGTAGTCGTCGTACGCCACCGCCACCCACCCTCGTCGACGTTGATCGCGCGCGCACGCACACGTACACCGACCACGGTCCATTGTGCGTGTGCGTTTGTGTGCGTGCGCGCATAGTATTCTCCGGCGGCGGCGTCCCATAGAAAAACAACGCCGCCGGCCATCGCCTACCCACTGACGCCGATACTTAAACGCGTGTATACACACTACACACACTCCACCGGCCGTTCCTCGTGTGAGTTGTTCCCTCGTCGTTTTTTCGCATGCGTTATCACTGCGTCGCGGTGTATAGTGTCAGCGCGCGGGTGCGCTCGTGTGTGCATACGTGTGCGCGCGCGTATAATAATACACTTTGTTCAATCCGGGAGCGCGCGCTGCGTGTAAAGCGAGTGGTGCTCCGTCGCCATGCGCCGTAGTATGTAACGTAGTAGTATATTATATCGTTGTAGTAGTAGTAGTAGTAGTAGTTGTAGTAATAGTAGTAGTAGTAGTAGTAGTAGTACTGTAGTAGTAATAGTATTAGTAGTGGTGGTGGTGGCGGTGGTGGTAGTCGTCGACATCCAACGCAAGTGACCGTGTGTGTGCGTCTGTGTGTGTCTGCCGCGTCTTTCTCGCTCGCTCTTCGACGCGCACGACCTTCTCTCCTCTCCCGGCGGCGCGAATATATACTATATAAAACATACTAACGTAACGTCGTAACCGCCGTCGCGCGAGTTAGTCGTTGACCGGCGTCGTAATTGTCGTGACGTGTGTGTGTTCGAAGGAAAATGCTTATCAGCACCAGTGGCTGGCTGCACGACTATTATTATTATTAATAACAACTTGTCCGGTAAGTAGTGGCGAACGGATATTATTTTTAAATTTTGCTTTATAAAAATAGTGTTTTCTCACGAGTGCTGTTGCGTTTAATTTTAATTTTATCTTGTGTACAACGGTATCAGGTGTCTTTTTTTTATCTTTCTCTCTCTACGGATCCGCGTGTGGTCGAAAGCTCGGTACGACGGTGCACCACTAACGCACACGGCCGAGCCGTCAACGAATCATTTGATCCGTCGTTGTCCACTTCCAGGACTCCAGGCTCGTGTACCTATACGTACACCAAAGTCAGGTGTACGGATAAAAATAGCACACAGGTGCGAAACGCGTCCTGGTTTAGCCTTGGACGTTCGGGACTGGTTTCCAGCTACGCGAATTTCGCGGGCTAGTTACGGTTTTGTTTTTAAGCTAAACACAACTTGTGTTTAAACCGTCCGAAAAACGAATGGAAATCGGATTACGCGTGTCTGACTGTGTTCGGTGGATATCTAACGTAGTATTTATCTGCGCGCAAGTGTGAGTGTGTGTGAGTGTGTGTCGTGCGAGCGTCGTCGGTGGAAACGAGCTCTCTAATCGGCTATTCATTGACACTTATGCACAACTATTTCGCGATGAGGTGTTGCGCGCTCAAGTTTTCGGCGTTTGTTTTTCGTTCCGCCTCAAGGTCGTCGTCGCCGCCGCCGATGTGTGATGGTGGTGCCCCGTTTCACACGCCAATTTTGTATCGTTTACGGCGTTCGTATAGGTTTCCTGTCTCGCCAATCACGAAAATTAAAAACCAAACAGCCGAGTTCGATCGCACTTCTCGTCACTCGTCCGTATGTGTGTATCTATATTGTAATATCGACAACATTTAATACGGCCCTTTCCGATGACGCAAACAACGGTTCTGCATAATTGTTTATTAGTACGGCACTCGAATTGCTGCTATGCTAAAAAAACCAGACACCGCTCGAGCTGAATGTAAATATCTACGATGCGCATTTTTCGTTGGTCGTCCGTCCGTTTAACAATATTCATTTTAATAAAACTACTGCGATATGAGCGGAGTGGAGCGGGCCTTTTGTTGACGAGAATCGGACACGTGGATTATGCCGTTTCCGAACACAACACGGTGTACTGTTATAAATTTATGATAACAATAATATGATAATATCATAGACGGGTTCGCTGTCGTTTATTTGTTTAGTTCGCTAATTGTCTGCAATAAACTAGTCAGGTATAAAATAATAATAATATAACGTTACAACGTATTCCGTTCCGAGTGGTTATGAAGGTGCCGAGACGGTATAATACATATTATGTATTAATAAATATTATATTATATTAAAACCATTAACCTTGCAGCCGACAGTCCAGTGCATCTTTCATTAGTCATAATATAATGTTATAAGTCACTTTACCTATACGTGCAGTGTAGCGTACGTTATCGTCCATAATATGATAACGCTATCATCTGCGTAACAGAATACTACGAAAGAAATTATCGCGAACAACGTCGTTACTGTAAATTATGCTTACGATCCGATTTCGCGAGCGCCGGAACTCGTCTAAGGGCCGTTCTTACGACGTCCGGTTAAAGTTAACCGACACTTAACCGGAAGAATTCTGCCGGTAATAAAATCTGTTATCAGTCGGTTAGCGTTAACCGACACTTTACCGGACATTGTAAGAACGGCCCTTAGACGTACATAGGAAGTCAGTGGTGGGTGTGTGTACTCTGCGGGGTTATTGGGTTTTGAGTGTTTCTTCCGGTACTCTTCCCGCCGTATCGATAAGTCGTTCATCGATGATAACGGCGTGTAAAACGTCAATAATAATAATAATTTAAATATAATGACTAATGAGTACTGTTGACAGAGACCGTCACGCGTCGCCCGTAAACGGATGAATAAGCGCGCGCGCGCGTGTGAGTGACGAGTGTGTAATGTGTATGCACGTCGTTTGCGTACAAAGGGCAATTATCTATCGTTGTTCTTATCGTAGATAAATTGGCCCGATTAATACCAATAATAATTATTGTTAGAGTACGAATATTTTAAGTGCATGATGCATTTATTGTGGTATTTGCAAAATAATCTATTCGTTCCCGAGAATACAATTTTACAGATAAGGCTCTTCGCTTTTATTGTATATTTTTTCTCCACACCGAGTATATATTAATATATTATTATTATTATTATGTTCTCAACCCGCTGAACAAGCCAGTTTTCGAGCCTATTGTGTACGATGTTTTGTTGTGTACGATTTTTTTTTCTATTAATTTTTTGCCGTTTATTTAAGATTTGTTTGAAACGAGATAAGCACGCCACACAGTTGCTATTGGCGTATTGTTCGAGAAACTGTGTGTACAAAAATTATCAGCACGCACGTGTCGAGTACGACTCTTTTTGTCTGTCCTTTATTGTTGTGGTGTTCTACACTACAACGTGTCTCCGGTATATACATATGATAGTATAATATAATATACGTTTAATAATGGAATATATTATAATAAAAATAATATAGTATAATATTATGTCAAGCTCGTTGAATGAAATTGTATTTTATCAGTACATGTTTGCGTGTGTGTCGAGACTTGAGAGGACATAACAATCTCGTAACAATCGTATATTGCTTTCTTTGTCTTCTTTTATACACCGCGCGTAACAGACATTTTATCGACTGCATAATCGGTATTATAATTTTATTAAATCTTATATTATTATCTTTATCATTTATCTTGTACTATTATCATTATTGTTGATTACTAACCTGTCTAGTTACTCTAGTTCTACCATTAACAGAGATTTACAGCAGATTTTTCTGTAAATTTTATAAATGTAGGTAATTAAATCATTAATTGCATATTTGTAAAGCCTATATTCCTATGTTTAGGACGTGAATAAAAACAAATAAATGACCGACAATCACATCTTTCGAAAATTATACTTTTTGATAAGTCTGATGTATGTCGGTTATTAAAATATATCAATTTAGCCTCATTCAAAATATGTTGTGAACGAACCCATTTCACGATTAATTTTGAAAAGCGTGCGTACCTCTCAGTTCCCCTATACCACGGCTTTTTTCATTTTCCATAATTTGTAGTTACCGACGATAAAAGAACAGAAACAACTTGTACACACAGCTCGGACTCGAGTAATTGCCTACGATTTTCATTGGCTTCTTTCGCAGTTTATTATTATTTTATTTTTATGGTTTGTCGCGCCTGCAGTAATACGCCCACACCGACAACATTTGCAAACACACGTACGCACAATGTCCCGGAACAATAATTCCGTTTTTGATATCACTCACCACAGTTTCCGTTATGCGCATAGATATTAAAGAATGGATAGGCCATGGCTACATTAATAAAATAGAGGGTCGTGTGCCGGAATGGGGAAGAGAGAAAGACTGTTTTTTAATGATTGTATCTCATTCTGGCAGAGGTATTATCATAAATTATATACAATAATTATATATATATGTATATTTGTGTTAAGACCTCTATAACCTCAACATTTTTTCATGTTCGTTCCCATATGATAAGCCATTCCTATCCATTCTTTAATATCTATGGTTATGCGGCGGTCTTATCAATAATATTTTGTAAATAATATAGCGATAACGTGGTTTAAAAAGTTTCGATTTCCTGACCAAAATTATTTACTATAGTTATACCGTATACATACACTTGTTTTCAAATTAGGTCAGGAGTCGGGAATCTTCTATTACTATCGTAATAGTAATTTATCAAAATGGTATATTAATATTAGTTAGATTTTAATTTCTAACCCTTGCGATTGGATTTCTTTTAGGTGTTTCTCAAGAATACGTGCAATGATCACCAGCGGTCTCGTGGTGGATGGCGTTAGCCACGGACTTCAGGCCCACTTACCGTATAACCACCAGGCTGTCCATAACCACCACCGTATGTCCTATGTGGAACCGTCGGCATACATGAAATCGGTGGGGCCACCGCCACCTTCACCACAGCAACAGTCTTCCGAGCTGCCATCCACGCCAGAGTTCCTGCGGCCGTTGCCGAAACCAGCGCCCGTGAACCCTCTAAAAGCTCCTCGGGCGTCGTCAAAGTACGCAGTGGATTGCCGTCCGGTCAACCTGACGGCCCCCAAAGAACCGTTGCCACCACCGTCGGTTGACCACCAGATCAGGATGGATGAACGACACCATCAATACCACATGTACGGACATCCTCGGCTCTACGTCAGCGCGGCGGCATACCAATCGTACCATAACATGCACCAACCGCCGGCACCATACGGTGTGTACACTAGCCCGTACGCACCTGTCATCCCGCGGGATATCAGGCACCATCTGATGCAACCGCCGCAAGAACAAAGGTACCCGAGTCCACCGAACAAGAACGGCGGTGTTAGCGTCGGGAGTCGAGCTAGCCCGTCGTCGTCGCCTCCCGAACAGTTCAAAGTTCCGAACGGTAGAGACAATAAACCACCCCTACAGCTGCAACAGCAGCGAATACTACCGCCTCCCCAACCGGCCACTACAGTAGCCACCGCCCCTGCCGTCAACCACAACAACATCATTAATAACAACAACATCCATAACAACAATAACCATATAGGCGCAGTCGCGGAACCCTCGCCAAAGAAACTGCGGCGCAACACGCCGGAACCGCTGTCACCGCCGGCGGCCAAGACGTCAAACTTCACCAAGGGTTCGCTGATACGGTTGGCTAACGGCAATATAAAAAAGGTCGAAGATATGAGAACCGAAGACTTTTTGAACTCTGTGGAGAACAGTGACATGCACAGGATCGATCCTAGTACGGTGGTGAGAATCGAACCCGTGACGGATTCGGCAGTCAAAGGCAACATAAAGATCACACTTAGCTACGGTGACCAAAGAAATCATCAGGTAAGCGGTATTCCAATTATTATTTTATTTTTCATCGATAAGGAAGTCGTCGTAGTAGTTTTCGTAGTAATAGTAATAATAATAGTAGTAACAGTAGTAGTATTATAGTAGTAGTAGTAGTAGTAGTAGTATTTTCGATCGACCGCACTCTCAATCACTCCCACCACTCGCCGTACACGCAAAACCGGCGGCGGCATCTCGTCGTATATTAAACTTGTATAGTAAAATATGGGCTCTTCTTGGAATCGGGTTTCGTGAAAGACCGGCGGAGTAGGAGGTGGTGAAGACTAAATACGAATAGTAGGTGGATGACGTTGTGGTGGAGTAGGAGAACCATTAGCGCGGTGGTTTAAATTCTGTATTTACTTCTGGAATGCAACCAAGACGATACGGGTTTTTTATTATTATTACTTTTTATCACGACGGCGGTGCGCGCAGTGGGTGCGCGAGGCGGTTGGTGGTGCGAGAGCGATGGGCATGAAATCTTGCTACGACCTTGGGAGTCGACGAGAGGAACGCGGCGGCGGCCGCCGTTCGACGAGGAGAGTTGTAGTGAGTGACATTGTTCCGGACTGGTTCTAGTTCAAGAGGTGTGGAAAAACCCGGAGCTTGTGGAGGCGGCCATATTGCGTGGCACGAGTTTGTCTTGGCGCGAGCGAGCGTGTGTGTGTACACATTTTAGTCGTAGTATTTGTGAGTGAGCGAGTGTATTAATATTGTACTACGCGCGCGTTGGAATTCCTTGTCCGTCGACGACCACACGACAAAACGACGCACGCGAGTGTGTATTCGACGCCGTTTTATCGCCAACCACCTTTTTAACGAAATTGAATTATAAATTGTATAATTTATTATACATGTATCGCCTATGTATTTGAATAATTTTTGAATTTCGTTTAAGGCCACCGCCGGGACAGATTTTCACGACGTGCCCGACCGGTTTGTTTTTCGTGATGTATTGTTCTCGGTCCACACGTGTAAAGTCTTCTCATACGCCCTCGCCCCCGCCCCTGCACACACACCCACCCACAACTGATATTCTACGATCATTGCCAAACGACGCAGACCCCATGCCGCACACGCCCGTCGGAGTAATAGCCGGAATTTGTTAACGGTTAACACGTTTTTAGAAGTTTTCCTACGATCCCGGAAAACGAACATAACACGGCCCTCGTCTTCGAAATGTACGTGTGTGGGTCTTGGAAATCACGCACATCTGGTGTGTGGTGTCACATGTTCGGAATTTCGTACTCTGTCTGTGTGAGTGTAACGCACGATTTTTTGAATCGTTCCCGGTTTTGATCCTCCGCCGCAGTATTAATAATTTATTATTGTCGTCGGGATGGAATATATTGTATACTCTTGCTACACTATTATTATTTAATTAATAGTTTTATATTATTTTTGAGTGATAAAAATAATATTATTGTACACTGTAGAGTGTAGGTCCAAGTTTGGTTTAATTCTTCAAAAGTGTACCTATTAATAATCAATAAAGTATCGTATCTTAAATCATGACGTTGATTACACGGTCGTCCAAAAAAAGAACGGAAAATATAAACACTTATAACTTATAAGTTATAATATATTATGATTAGAGATGTGAGTGCTGTAAATTTACCAGGTAAATTTTTACCGGTAAAAAAATTTACCGTAAATTTTACCCATTTTTTTTTACTGGTAAATTATTTTTTACCAAAAAAAAATATTGTGTGGCCCCTCTAATTAAATGAAATCAAAAACGCCTAGTCTAAATTGTAAAGAGATATCTTTTTTATCAACTGATACAGTGTTATTATCATTTATAATATTGATATACTTGTTATTGTTTATATAGTTTGTTATACACTATAGGTAGTATCAATATTCTGCCAACCCTACTATATTTCAGAACATTAAATATCAGTAGTAATTATTAAACATTTTATATAGGCAGATCGCAGATACCAAGAAGGCAGATAATATGATATTGATAATATACCATTAATTATTATTAATACAAAAGTTAAGTCTAAAATCTAAAAATATACATGTTTTGACTCAAAAAGTAATAAAGGTTATGTGAATTTTGATTCAGTTTAGTTTAATTTAAATTATTTATTAATATTGTAATATGAATAATTAAATATTCATATTTCATAAAATGTACTAATTACTAATGTCTAATACAGAACAATAGACAATATATATTACCATATTTTAGATTTTTTGTTAATTATTGTTATTATTAGAAAGGATTAGATTTAACAAGTAGGTATACAACATTAGTACCCAATACAAATCGTATTTACTAATGAGAAATAGTAAAAAATAACAATGGCTCTAAGATTTAGCTATTTTACCATTTTTACCACCTTATTGGTAAATTTACAGTAAAATTTACCGGTAAATTTACCAATATTTTTTTTTACGTAAATTCTCCATCTCTAATTATGATTAGTATTGATTACGAAAGTACTAAACTATATCGATGCCCATTTTTCTAATATTTTATCGGCACTAGTGTATAAATTTTAAATTTTAATGCTCTTATCTATAATACCCCTCTGGTAAAACGATTGTCTTTAAGAAAAGAAATTTTTCAAAAAATTTAATGATATTGGAAATATTTTGTATTAAAATTTGTTCCACACACATTAATAAATACTAAATTACCAGTAAAATGTTTACAATTTCTGCATGCATGTCAAAGAATTCTATATTTTTTTAATAATTATTTTAAGTTTTTAAATTATCAAAGTGATACATTGTACTGTCGTGTACTCATGTCTCACGACAATTACAAATTACAACACACGAATTTCAAATTATTGTATAGTTGCCTACAAGTGCATGCAAATTTATTTCAATTAATAATTTAATTATTGTAGGTCTGACTGGTCCGAGAAGTCTTACGAATTCGGAGAATGTGTTAATGTTTTAATGATATATAGTATTATGTCGTAATTGTATTATAAATGTACCTACTAATATGATATTTATCTACGAGTTTGTGTGTTAAACCCATTCAAATGACATTATTAACTTTTAACTACGCAACGGTCTTTGTTAAGCAACGTTGTTCGATTTAAATCGTGTTCATTGTCCAAAGCAAGTTATAGTACACACTTTACAGTACACACCGTCGTGTTATACAAGTTTGTCGGTAATAGGTACATATTATATTATAAAACCGAATGCTTGATTTCAAAATATTTCTTATTAGTTCGATTGTTATATTATTATTTATTAGGGTGGTCATTAACATTGAATCAATATTGTAAATCCATGAATTATTTGTTAAGTCTTCACCTATATTGTAATGATCACCGATATTTTTTACGTCTATCATCAACATGATAAAACTTAAATATATGATGTACTTTCTCGTTTCCCGGAATTCTCTGTGCCGAGAATTATAAATGTATTTTTTAATATATTGGAATATCATATTGCATGTTATTTTTTTATCTAATGCGTAATGGCCATTTTCGTCGAGAATTCCTATTAAGCAATTAGGATCGTTTCCACTAACTCGTTCAAACCATACAACTGAGCATTAAATTTAAAAAAATTATATCATTATTTATTATAATAGATATTGTGTTGTTTTAACGGATAATCATCATTAAAATTCGTTCCCCGTATTTGTTTTTGCATTTCGCATTTCATTATTTTTGATCTCGGAAGAAAAAAATAAGTACGCTGCTCAATACTCCTACAATATGAATATTTATCTGTACATGGCATATTGGCATGTGCAGTTTGCAATGTGGTTAGTAATGAGTAATGACTGATGAATAATAATAATAATAATAGTAATATATGTGTCGACCAGGTTTACGGCACGACTGTTTACTAAACGACGGGCTAGCTGAATCGTTGCCGATGGGCAATAAATAAAAACCATTCCTCGGCAAGCGTTTTACTATAAGAAAAAAAAATATTATCCAGTTCAAAGAGCAAAAAATTGATATAGTATAGGTTTTATTTTTTTCAACTCATTTATTTCGTCGGCTGTGGCGCCGGTCGCATTTCATTACGTAACACGTATTTTTCATACTCCGGTCGGTGCAATCTCTACCACGGCAGTCTCATTATCGAAAACGCATAAATTTCATTCAACAATAGTAATTAGATATTACGCACGGCCGCGTTTTCGTGATACGTGGTTACCGGTTAGTACCGGTGATCTATAGTGGCGATCGCGCGTCATCGTCGTTTTCTCTAAACACAGCAACACGCGTTACTCGCGGGTCGCGGTCAACCCTCGTCTACATTTGGTTGTCTGCGCACACTTCCTCTCCTCGCCGTCCCCTTTGTTTTTCTCGTCGTTGTGTACTCTTTTTTTCTCCGCTCGTGCAAACTAGTTTTGAGAATGGAAAAAAAAAGATGCCCGAGAAAGGAAAGAACGAGTACAACGACGGCAGCGCACGTATAGAGAAAGAGAAGATGGCGAAAAAAAAGCCGATATCAAACACAATGCCAAAACGAACTCGTCGCCCCTTCTAACTCCCCTCGCCATAACCCGATTCAGCTCCACAGAGAGTATTGTTTGTGTGCGTGTGTGTGACCTTTTTTCGTCTGAAGGTCGGAATGCAGACATCGATTGGAAATGCTAATACGGTGCCCCTTCCCGGCTCCTCCCGCGCGTTAAGCGCACTGCTCGAGTGCACCCGTCGCGCATGTGCACCGAATAACTTCCCTTCCGACGAGATAGAGGGTGACTGCGTGTGACCCCTTTTGGTACCCCCCCTCCCCATACAGTCTTCGGCAATAGTAGCAAAAAAATGTTCTCTTTGCATACTGAATGAACCGATTCTAGTATCCTACCCAAAGGCTATATAATTTCTCATTATACAACATTACTACTTCTACATACTTATGTCTTTATATGTATACATTTGGATTTTATCCGGCACACATAGTCACGACTTAAATACGTACTCGTAACTCCACTATTGCCAATCACGCGAGTCGATTTAAAAAAAAAAGTGCAAAAAACCAGGGTCATAAATTTT